CACACCCTTTTTCACATCAAGACCTCTAGAATCCTGTAAGTACGAGTATTGAGTGTATGTGGTGCATTTATTTTTCAGCACAAGCGCTATTTAGCGCTCTGCTAGGGCTGAACCGAGGCGAGGAAGTGGTACTCTTCATGCAGCTCAGCCTCAACACAGCTCAGATGATCGCGGGGTCTTCCCTTAGCGCCGTATACAACTTTTCATCGCTTGGTGCTTTGCCTTCGACGCCTGTGGCGGAGGCGCCAGGTTTTGGGGCAAGCGAATGTGATACTCATGTGGCAAACTAGCTCCTGGGACAAGTTTTCAGCTAATTCTGTGATTTAAGGGATTTTGGCCGGTGCCTGCGCCGCGGGCGCCAGGCGGTTTCGGACTAAGCGACCATGATATTCACGTTAAGAAGGTCAAACTACACCTGGAGACTAATTTTCAGCGGATTTGGTCACCCGCATCTGTTATACTGGTACTAGACTGTTTCTGACCACGCGGATGTGATAATCGTGTTTAGGAAGTCGAACTACTCCCGGAAACAAATTTCCAGCCAAATCTGCCCTCGCAAAAGAAGAACCGGTAAAAAACTGGCCTGATTTGAGTAGCAATAGTTTGGACGAAGGAATTTTTTTATGTTGTTGACTTTTGGCGGTTTTTCCTACTTCATGGACGGTATACCACCGCTCTCGCACCCCTCACACTTACTTGGTGTGTGGCGCTGCAAACTACTGTTTTTGATGGCTGATTTGTAGAGCAGAGCGGTCCTTCCCCAGGTTTTTAGGCGGAAAAGTGGAACTTCTCCGGGGAAGTAGGAAGTTGCGAAGATGATGGGTAGGACGGGAAAAAAGGGTTGGACCAGAAGAGGATATTTGAGATGGGTCTATTTTGCAAAATTTTTACGCAAGAAGTAATCATAACCACTGGCCAACATTGTGGTGAATTCTTTGAAAAGAACTTCGCCACTCTGCCCAGCAACGAGCGTTAACTGAAAAAGAAGATACTGGAACCGAAACTTTGTTCACACAATTCCTGTCTAATCATTGCGGTTTGTCGGCTACACTACTTCCTACGATTTCTCCAGAAGGCTTTCTTGAGAGGAAACGCTTCGGTGTTTTTTACCAAAAAAATGTGTCTCAAAAACGGAATTCGAAGTTTGAATGAGTAGTTGTCGAAAAAAAACCACAAAACTGCTGGAAATCCGTTGGAAACGTAGTCGAGGCAGAACACGCCATCGCGCTATTTAAATTTTCTACCGAATACGCTCCCACTGCCCCCCCCCTCCCCACCCTTCTCCGAAGCAGGGTCTTATTGTCAGTACGACCCCCTAAGCAAAAAGAAACATGGAATGATCAGGGCACAGCATTAGTTGGGGATTTCGGACCAACCCATACGACCCCCTCCCTTTTTTTCCTGACCGTTTGTTTTTCTTTTCGAGCTCGAGTTTAGGCACTACAGCTATATGGCGGCTCTAGTGCCTAGCTCGAGCTCGAAAAGAAGTAGTTGTAAAGGCATAAAGTGATTCCACTCAAAGTTTGGAGGAATACCTGTCAACTTTTGTGACGCAATGAATACCAGGATGTGAAGTAGCAAATGGATCCCCCACCATAGAATAGGCCATGAAGCAATGCGGAATCCGAGGAAATAATGGAAGGCGTATTGTACACATCAATTTGAAGAAATGCAGAAATGCGGAAAATGCAGAAGTGTGGAGTGCAGAAATGACGAAAAGCATTACAATTTCCAATTTTCAGCAATGCGCCGTTTCTGCATTTCTTCACCGTCGCAAGCTATGAACGCGACCTAAATGATGTAACATAACATAACACAGCCGAAAGCAGAAATAGCATAACATAACAGAAAAACAGACAGTATAACAGAAAAAAGAAAATAAGTGGAGTTATACCAGCCGATCAGCTGAAAAATGATGAGGAATCGACGGGAAGGGATTCTGGGCAGGACCCACATCCGCAAGGTGGTTGCAGGTGGTTTGATTGGAGCGCAGACTTTCATTAAAGTAGGGTGTCTTAAAAGGGCCATAACTTCCTTTTCAGCGGACCTATGGGAAAGAAAAGAAAGCGGCCGTATGGAGAAAGTTTTGAGCTTCCCAAAACGTACTGAATTGTTCAGAAAGGTTGCCAAATTCATAGAAAAATTTGCGTTGGGGATTAGTTGGGGAATGCACTTTTTTGGATAGTTTGCAGCGCGGATTTCAAAGACATTTCGTTTGAACCTCAATAGTTTGAGAATCTGAAACCAGTGTCAAATTCTAGAAGATTTTCTCTTTCCAAAAACCACTTAAAATATTTCTGAAGTTTCCGGGATTCATGAGATAATTTGCGTTGGGGATTTTTTGGGGAACACTCCGAACTGTTCGAAAGTCCGTTTTCTGCGTACGGTTTCAAGCGAGCGTGTTCGAATAGCCTGAAATACATGTGGAACATATCCTGCGTGGGGCAGGGGCAGGATGTGGTTTGTTTAGCGCCAACGTGCTAACTGTGGATGCGCCGCGCATTGAGGTCCGCTCAGAGGTGATGGGATGGTGTTAGGGCGTAATGTCTGTCCACCCGAGCAAATGCGTCTATAGGATTCAGGGAGGTCCATGGTGAACCTGTGCACTTGTTTACAGTGTTTTCCGTTGCGTATGATGGAGCGTGTCCCTGTCGACGCCGCCACATCGCGTGCTCCGCCAATTGTTGATTAGGATAAAGGAGACCAAGTACTGGAAAACGTCTGATACGAACGATATGGTAGTCCTGTCGTTTGTCGAAAATAAACAGATTGGCTCAGCGCCAAGCGCGATCGCGGACACGCCTCGTCATCCGCAGCGAACCAGAGCAGAAGTTGTACTCTTTAGTCAGTTACAAGATGATGTAGACTTATTAATATTTCCAGTTATTTCGATCTAGTTTGATGAATGGAAATTGTACTACTTTTCTACATATCCGAGTTCTCTACGAAGCAAGTTTCGCTGTACAGGACTCAGCACACTGACACCTTTGGGCTGCTCGTTACTGGCTACCTCACTCATTACGACCCCCCCCCGCTCTCCTGGCGGCCAAATACGACCCCTCTGTTGGGGATGCTCCAACCAACGATGTGCCCTGGGAATGATATCAAATAAGATACTTGAAGGTTGAACGTTTCCGCGCATTCAGCAGTTGCACTGGAGCGAGCTGTTTCGCGGTGTCTTGTCAACATAAGCCGGCAACTTCAGGAGTATCTTTTTTGGACATCCATAACTTTTAGAAAGTGAAGCGTCTGAGGAAGGGAAAACAAGGTTGTGACGCTATAGGGATATAGGTTTTATATCTATGCTATGAACTGCGCTCAAGCGATTTTAAACACCCCATTTTCAGGAAGTTTCCCGGTTGTTGGATTTTTGTGTCACCTACGAGTTTTCGTGTTTGAATAGCCATAATTTTTTTACATGTGGCCACATGTAAAACCAGGAACAGCTTCGAAATCTAGGAGGGGGGTGGGCACTTTCGGGAGAGCGCCTCGCTTCCTCCCTGGCCCGCTTTTGAAAAAAGTCTTTGTTGTAGTTTCGGGCGACACGGAAAACCTGCCCCTTCTGCGCAGAAACACTTCCGGTTCGTCTGAAGACTTTAGTATGCTTAAAGAATACATTTTTTGTCAAAGTTATCAGGAAATACTTCATTCGACGATGACCGACATCACCTCTGTATTGCGCCATACTTCTGACTTCAAGGCAGAGGTGTTGGAATGGTGTAATTCTAGATGACGCTCCTCCAAGCAAAAAGATGTGCTCGTTCTTTCAGAAAGCTCCGAGCGCATAATGCGCCTGGTTTACTTGTTAATTCATGACGTCGCTGTCAGCGTTATGACCAGCGCTCCCCCCTCCGTCCCTCGCGCTCAGAAACAACCCTCCCTTCCCTCTCCCCCCCCCTCCTTGCGATTTCCATAGCCCTGAATAGGGAGGGGCACTCGGCAGCGCATCTGCTCCCCACCTCTAACCAAGGCTCAGGCGTAGAGCGAAGACGACCAAGGTTGCCGTGGTCTAATGAGTTCTCTGGTCTTCTCTGCACCCATTCGTCAGCTGACGTTCTGCGATTACGGTGACCCCATACATTCCAGCTTTTTCACGTACATCCCAGTTCGCTGCGCATGAAGAGGCGTGGCAGACAGTATGAGTGTGGCCCGGCGCCAAACCCGTTCTCTGCCAGTTGTTGAAACGGCTATATGGCAACGACGTGGGGGGGGGGGGGAAACGAGGTGAGTACGAACGATGTGGTACAGTCGTGTCACTTGAGTGTTCTAGCCAAGCGACTTGGTATTCGCTCCAGAGGGACAAGCTACCTCTAGGGACACGTTTCCAGCAAACTTGTTCGTAACTCTTTATTAATTAGTACAATATATGGCAGACATATATTTATCTGCCATCGTTGTACCAAACAGTTAAGCCCTAGGTAAAGAATGACTTCATTGGCTTGAACCAACACCATTTCTCTTTGAAGGTAAGGGGAACTCTCAAGCTAAGACCTTATTTCTGCCACAGGTGGCTTGAAAAGAAAACAGTCGAACTTATGATAGATGTATTGATCAAGTCTCAAAACTTTATAGTTAGATGTGAATTAGAGAAATAATCGACCCTTTATGCAAAAAAACAGACAAAGGTTCCAACATTACGGTACCAGAACATGCCGGGAAATTCACACAGTAATTACTGAAATAGGTATACCCGAAATCCCTGAGATCGGGTAGGTGGAGCATCCGAACACTGTAAGGAACTGGTTACTGGTAGAACATTCCAGTCTGGGACAACTGTCATCTTGTCCTGTGTTGGACAGAGATACAACAGCGATTGTGTCGAGATGAAAATATCGCATCAGAAGCGTAAACGCCTTAAGGATAAGTTGAAACATGCGGCCACGCCTACCCGATCTCAGGGATCTCGAGTGTATAAAGGATCAAGCAAAGCCAGAAGGAAGCAAAGACGCGACAAAGACGGCGAACTTCTCGGATGCTACCAATACCAATCGCTGGGAGAGTCATGAGAGTTGGATGACACCCACGTCTGGTCTATATCTCCTGAAAATGTAATGTCAAGAGCATCATATCAGCCCATAGGCGTGCACAAAAGTTCAGGACCACTGGCAACTTACCCCTCATTCAAGTAACTATGATGTTTCCACTGATTTCTTTCAATATCAAAAATTTCAACGGTTTCTTGGTCAGCAGTGCCATTCCCACCTATGGCACACAGCCTTCCGTTGGCAACGGCCAGTGTTACCTGGTCAGTAGCGCCATTCCCACCTATGGCATACAGCCTTCCGTTGGCAACGACCAGTCTTACCTGAACAAAATCCTTCTTATTCTTTTGCACTCGCAGAAACAAATATTGTGCATTTGAAATATATTACATAGGAAAAAAGTCCTGCAACACTTGAAAGATAATTTTGATGTGGATATTCTTTCAAGGATCAAAAACTTCGATCAACGAAAAAATAACTACTGCAGGAACCTGGGGCAAATATCCAACTGTGTTGTTTGGCTTCTCGCCTCTCAGAGTCCCGCAATTTCAGTGAGTAAGAATGTTTCGATCTCACTCATCAATTTTCTTATTTCCCAAGTGACGCACTAGGACTGATGCCGTTTGGACGCGCTTACTTTTGGCTGTGAGCTCTTTTATGAAGTGTCTAGATCACTAAATCCGCGAAAACTGAATGTAATTCAACATCCAGGTTTCGAGTATGACACTCATTGTTGGAGCTGGCGCTAATGGAGGACACTACAATTGTTTCTGGGCTCAGCCATAGCAATCCTAGTGTCTTACATTAGAGCCAGCGCCAAGAATGAGTATCCCCATCTGCGCCAAATGCGAACCCTGGCGTTATGGAGTGCCAAGATATCCGACCTTTTTGGTAGAAGTTTACATGTGGATTGGTCATTTTTTGAAGTCAATCAAACTACGCGAATCGACACAGTCGGTTCGTGATACAGGCGCCCCAACCTCTTTATCAGCGCTATGAGCAGTAGATTGAGACTTTTTTTTCTATGCACTTCGTCTTCCGCCACTGCGGACAACTTCGTTTCTTGAAAGAACCTATCGAGCTTATATGCAAGGTTTACACGGGGCAGCCTAATTTTACCATCCTCCCACTTATAAGGGAGGTCGTTCAGGGCGTGCTGCGGTTTTTTAGAACGGTTCCCTGCATATTGTATGGGCTCATGCAATGACCTGAAAAGTGTGCTCCATTTTCGCTGCGCTCATCAGGAAGGTAAAAAACGAAGTGAAAGAAATACTTTTGAATCTGCTTCGTTCTGGGCCTCTATGCAGCGCAGGTCACTTGCAATTTCAACCAGTGGCTGAGTAGGGGGTCCTCATAAAGGCACTATTTGAATCAAAGCGAAAATCGTTGCAAATGAGCTTCCACGTGCTCAAGGGTGAGCTGTCCATTGTAATGGTCTGTTCAACGATATAGAGCGGTAAACAGCTCCAAACCGGGTGGCCTAGAGGACACGGTGGAGGATTTGCAATTTGGTTGCGTTGATTGTTTGACTCCCCTCAGCCTGCGACCGGATCCGATCGCGAAAATAGTAACTTCTGCTGTGGTGTCAATTATAGCTAATTTGGGGGCACATCTTCTTTCCACTGAATTCGTTATGTACACCAATACAGGGAACGTTCAGCGCTATTCTGGCGCCAAGAATAGGTGTTATATCTGTGGTCAGGGTCACTTATTGCCCCTACAAACGAATTTTTGATCAAAACAGTCGCAGTCGTTCTGACCAACTTGGGTTTCCTTATTTGATTGTCCGGGGTCCGTAGCGTAATCGATACCTTATCGTTTTACGAAGATGTGAGACTCCGCTCACACTGCCGACCAAATGGTCACCTGCGACACGAAAAAGTCAAAAAAATTTTTTTCGCTCAAAACTTGTTTCCAGAGGGGATCGATAGTCCTGATACGATTCTGGATTTCTTTCTAGCGCCAGTGCCATTTGGTACTAGCAATGCGCCGAAGGGCTGAGTATGCGAATGCTGACGAATTCAAAAGAAGATGCGGTTCTGCTCCATGAAAATATTAGGTTGTCCGGAAAGTTCTGCACGTTTCGAGTGTTTCACATTGAACGATCATAACTTTCTTAACACTCATCGGATCTAATCCAAATAAGCACCATTCGAATCAGCACACTTCTGCCAATGTGACTGCAGTCGAGAAATCCCATCAAAGGAAAACTGGGTGGTCGTGAATCCACGAAATCTACGAAGACTTTTTTTGCCTGGTCGCAATTGATGAAGTGTTTTCCAGCAAGGGAGTTCTGAAAATGTTTGAAAAGGTGATAGCCGATTGGCGAAAGGTTTGAAGAATATGGCGGTTGAGGTAGAACTTCAACCCTCTATTCGTTCAATTTATGGAGAGTGATTTGTGAAACGTATGGGCGGGCGTTTTCATGCAAAAGAATCGGACCCTTTCTTTTGATAAGTGTTGGCTGTAGCTGACAAAATTTTCGGTACAATTCGTCGATTTCTTCACAGTAGGGTTCTGCTGTGATGGTTTGGCCTGGTGGAAAGTTATCGTGGATCACACTAGCCGATGACCACCAAACCGTGACCAGGATCTTTTGGTGAGGGTTCGGCTTTGAAAATTACCTCGGCGGTTCGTCGGAATCCAACCACTGTCTGGAACGTCTCCTGTTATCATACGTGACCCATTTTTGATCACAGGTGACAATTCGGTTCAAAAACGGGTCGTTTCTGTTGCGCAAAAGCAGTGAAGAGGAAACCGCGAGTCGTGCCAATTTCTGCCGGTCACTCAAATTGTGGGGCACCCTTTTATCGAGTTTTTTCACCTTCCCAATGCGTTTCAGACCATCTGCAACAAAGGATTTGCCAACGCCTAGCTTTTCTGCAATCTCTCGAACTGTTTGGGATGGTTCAGCCTCCAAAATCCCCCTAAAATCCTCGTCAGATATTGCTTTAGGTCGACCGCTATCAGGTTCATCTTTGAGGCTGAAATCTCTAGAATGAAATTTGTTGAACCATTGCCGCACAGTGCTTTCTCTAGCACTATTGCCCCCCCCCCACCTGGTTAATTTGTTGAGCTGTTTCGATTGCGGATTGCCCCAATTTATAGTCGAAGAAAAAAATCGCCCGAAGTGCTATTTTCACATGCTTGAAAAAATCTTGAAAAAAGGAGGTTCATCAAGCAATGGTGAAACGTCAGTTAAGCCATCAGATAGCGCAAAGAAATCTCTTCAGGATGCAGTACTGGGACGCAAGGGAGAGTGAGTTTTTATCAGCAATGAATGTTCAAAAAATAGTAACACAAAACGTGCAGAATTTTCCGGACAACCTCATAGAATTGTTCACTTTATCGTTGATGCTTTTGTTGGAAAAAAGCATGTAGACAAACATGGACCGAAAAAAATGAAAAATTGTAAAAAAGCAAAATTTTGTCCTCTCTGGGATCCGAACCACCGACCTATTTTTTTACGTTTTTTATTATCCCTAGAAGCGCACAGCGGGAAGCGGAAATGAAGCTCACTTTTCTGGTCCTCGTATGTGTTCCTACAATATGCACTAAACAGTTTTGAAAAGGCTCACCACGCCCCGAACGACCTCCTTTAGTGCGATAGCTTTAAACTGATCAAGTCTCTTAGCAGATATTCTCTGGGGACTTTTTCCTGGATATCACTGCCTTTTTGCTTCACTAGTTGCCTCGAGACTTCCTGTTGTGCTTCGCTCGGTCAGCAGCAGGAGTTTATCCAGTTATCTTTGTCTCCCCTCTTCCGTTATGAAGATCACACACTGTATGTCACGTCGGCTCTGGTCTAGGCTCGATGTCTAGCAGCTGTTTGTTGTCGCTCCTGATAAGTGTGTCAGTTCCATGTGGGCTGCTGATTCTATGAGGACCTTTCTCCAAATATCACCGTTTTTTTTTGCTTTACTAGCTGCATCGAGTCTCACTGTTTCTCGCGTCTTCTCTGTCTCGAAGTGCCGCTGTCCCCCTATGACCTCTCATGAAGCGCTAAGGGCACCACACCGGGTGTGGGACTTTCTTTAAAGATCTTACTACACACCTATCATGCCTCTTGGGAAGACTTGCCTGTGGGTTGCCTGACTTATTAGCTCTCTCTCGCTTACTGCTGACCTTTCGTTGAAAGACATGGCTGAGTCAAACTTAACATAGAAAGTAGAAGGCAAAAATAAAAGTAAACAGGAAATGACAGAAAAGAAGATGCTTTGATTAAATTGAAATGTTAAGAACCACTGAACCACTGTAAGCAACAGAAATGCAGACGTACACAACACGGCATCACTACAATTTAAATGGGAAAAAGGGCATGTGTCGGAAAAAATTTCTATTGTTCTCATCACGGAAGGTATCCAAATGATCTAAAATCGATTTGTTACTAACACTACCACCCAAGATTAGTTTGTATGCTCAATTTTAACACATTTTAGCATGCTTTTCACCTTTGCTTTATGTGGTTCAGGTCTTTCACATAGTATTAGGTTGGCCCATGAGTAACGGCGTTTCCTCCCCCCCCCCCCAATCGAAATATGCGCTGAAGAAGAAACGTTTTGCCATTAAGTTTCATCCGTTTTGCAGAGGATTTACACGATAGTCTTCTTAGTTTTCCTCAAGTTTCTCTTTCTACTGATATTTAAGTCTCAAACTGGAGTGTCAGGTCGACAAAACTGAGCATTTCAGACAGCCTCTCTTTTATACCTCTAAGTAAAAAGCTAAAACCGCATGAGCCCGGCTGCTAAGTGTACGGCTGAAAGGCTATGTCTCGTGGAGATTCTAATAATACTTGAGGCCATTTGAAGATTTTAGTTTCGACCTCACAGACAAGCATCAGAAGACCTTGCGATGCTCTTTTACAAGGTCCGAATCCCCACCTCTTGGTCGCTTGAACCAACTTCAAGCTGTGATAAGACGCATCTTTCTTCGGTCACATATATCACAAGGTTTGATCCTCTGAAGATTGACAGCCGAGACCTTTAGCCGACCCAGATTTCCTTTTCAGTAAATAAAAATCGGCACAAGTCGAGAAATAGTGAAAAGGCCAATATGCTATCTTATAGTGCGAAAAGTTATCTATAAAATAGTGTAGAACATACTAGCAACCTCTGGCATTTTTCATATGAAAAATTTTTGACGAGAAAACGCCATTACTTATGAGCCAACCTAACAATTCTTGGTTCTTCAAAACATGCTAGAGAATCAGAATAAATAGTTAGTTATTGCGACGTCTTCGTCAAGTAGAGGGAAGGTCAAGAGTAAGCAAGAGAGCAATTGAGTCAGGTGACCCCACAGGCAAGTCTCCCCAAGAGGCATTATAGGTGTGAGTGAGATCTTTTAAGAACACCACACACCT